CATGTAAAAGAAAAAGATTTTCAAAAAGCTTTTAAGTTCACAGAATATAATAGCATGCAACTTTAAAAGTTGAAAAATATACTAATATATATATATATATATATATATAATTTTAAAATGAAATTGAATTTTAATGAATTTCCTTCATATGGGTGGCTGTTAAAAAAGTATATGTCTTTATCCTTGAAACAATTATAATTGTATTTTTTAGTTGGACTCTAAAGTACTGAATATCAGTTTTACTTCAAAAATGATGTGGGAACATTTCCCTTACAGGCGACATTGTTTCAAAATGAAATCTAAGAAATGTAAAAATTACTTAATGTCCCTTTTTTTTGTCTTCAGATTTACATTTGTGGTGGATTCAATGGGAACGAGTGTCTGCAGACAGCTGAATGTTACAACCCAGAGACTGACCAGTGGACGATGATCAGTCCCATGAACAGTCGCCGCAGAGGGATAGGTGTCATTGCATATGAGGATCATGTCTTTGCAGTAAGACCAGAAAGTAGTGCTGACACTCACGTAACATACAAGTCACATCTGTAATGTGCCTTGATCAGCAAGGCTGACAGTTCGGGTTAAAAAAGAATTTTGCCAACTTTGTTTTGTATTTATCAATTATCAGATTCCTATCCTGCATGTATTTTTTTCATTTCACGATGTAAATGTGCCCCATTTCCAAAATGTTGATGATTTCACTAATGATTTCACATCTCTTCATGTGAAACCCACACAGCAAAATTGGTATGGCCCAGATCTGGCCCACACAATGTGCTTACACATGGCCCACATACCGCAAAGAATGACGGCCCTTTAGTGGCCCAGATCTGGTTTGCCAGACGTGGCCCACACATGGGCAAGCACAAGGCCAGTTGTAGATACACTGCTGGCCCTGTGCTGGCCCAGAACAGTTTCAGCTGATATAGCGATTTTCTACTCTCTACTCTCCCGGATTACTCAAAGTGCTCTATACAACCTGCCACATTCACCCAATCACACACTTTCTCTGAACTGAGTGGTTCCTAACTACATTCATACACATTCACACTCTTCACATGCAGACTGGAGGAGCCAGGGATCAAACCACCTCATTTCACCCATGCATTTACTTTTAGGTTGGTGGCTTCGATGGAAACAACCGTCTGCGCACCGCTGAGGCTTACAACCCACAAACCAATACGTGGAACCTCGTCTCCTCTATGTTGACCCGCCGCAGCAACTTTGGCATTGCGGTAATCAATGATCGCCTCTTTGCTGTCGGGGGCTTCAACGGCTTCACCACCACTTTCTACGTTGAGTACTACGACGCTTTAACTAACCGGTGGTTTAAAGCATGTGACATGGGGATTTTCCGCAGTGCCCTGAGCTGCTGTGTGGTGTCCGGACATCCCAACCTGTCTGATTACACCATTCCTCGTGACAGCCTGACATATTTAAATGTGCCAGAAGAAGCAGCGGAGTCCACGTAACACCTTTAAAATGCAATACTGCCATGTGTCAACATCTGGGACTCCAACATTAAGGACTGAAATAAATCTTTAGAACATCAATCCGCTGGTGAACTGGACATTTTTTTGTAGATATTTCAAAAACGTTAAGTGTGTCTGTGAGGAGACCGTGCACTGCAGATACTGGGTTTCGTCAAGAGAACGCCAATAACAAATTTAAACACATATACTGTGTTGCTTCACATCATCTTTTCTCTTGTGTGAAACAGAAAAATAACTCTATTTCTCAGTATGTATTTAATGTGCTTTGTGGTATTTTCCACTATATTGCATAGAATTATATATTTGTTTATGATAAAAAGCATGACCTTTTTATTTACTAAGGAAAATCCAGTCTTTATGTGTTCAGGGAGGTTGCTGTGATCTGCTCTCAGATCCGCTATCCACTGAGCATTACTGTTATGGGTTGCGTCCTTCTCCCACATGCTCTTCCAGTATTGCTCCATCTCCAGCGTTGGTGGTGCTGTTCTCATATTGTTCCCCTGACACTGAGAGTACACCTTGGATGGTTCTGTGGAGAACAGCTGGTTTATTCTCCTGCCTTCGATCTCTCTGGTGTACCTCTTCAAGCGGCTGGCCAAGGCTTTGAGTTGTTGCTTGGCAGTTTCCAAGATCTCAGGTATGGACGGCTTGCTGTACTTCTTAGGCACCTTCTTTGTCACTGTGATGGCATCAGCCACACATGGGTAAAAGTTTTTTCACTTTATTTGTTTGTTTTGCAGTTTTCTTCATTAATATAATTCATTAATCATTTGGTTAAACCTAACACTGGTATTATGAGGCGTGCACATAGTAACATTGTGTGGTTTTTCTAAAATGTTTTGTTATATTAATTATGTTTCTCTTTTTTTGAGTTACCTGGGTTTGAGCGGTGGCTGTGTCCTGTCTGGGCAAATGGCGTGGCTGAGAACTCTGGGAACAAAATGCCTGCTCAGCAGGACCAACCATGGGCTTACCAGGAGCAGGGGTGTTTTAGGTTTAGTTAGGTTATTCTGTGCTTAGTTAATATTAGTGTGTGTTTTTGTTTTCCCCCTATTGTGTGTAAATGGTTTGGCCAAATCATTATAAAAGCTACCCTCATGTGTCTTTGTAATTCGGTCAGTTTGTGAGTTGTGTCTCACTTTGTTTGTTTAAGTTTCTGGAAATTACTTTTTGTAGAGTTATATTTAGTTGACCTCTTTTATGGGCCTGCTAATTATGTTTTTGAATTTTGTCATTTTTTAACTTTTTGAGGGTTAAAATTAAGAAAACCCTTTTTGAAGACTTTTTTTGCTTGTGTCCTCTATGCTTTGGCTGCTTGGTCCCTTACAGTCATACCATTCTGCAGCTCAGATAGTTGGCTAACCTCTCTCCGTGCTACCTTGAGGGTATTGCTCATTGCGGCTATTCAACTTGTAGCCAAGCATCTCACTGATCACTGCTGCAGTGTTGTAGATCAGCTTGTTAGTCTCGGAAATGGTGGCGGTATCGTCTATAGTGCTGCATTCACATGTTCTAGTAGATCCTCTGAGGGTACTTCACGTACATGTTCATTAGTCGTTAATAAATAGTGACACGTTTTACACTTTACAATAAAGCTCCCATTGATAGTTGCAGATATTTATAATGCACTGATAAAATACAATATTATATGTTTAAAATATATCTTTACAAATGCCTATTGTGCTTACAAGGTAGTAACTTAGTCTGAAATTTTTAATATAGCAACTCTAGATGAAATATATAAGTGAATAGATCTCTATTTGGCAAAAAACTGGTCAGGTTTTTCTCTTTCTTCTCTCTTTCTTTAATGCGTGACATTTATTAATGGTTTATAAAGTGTTTGAAGCTAATTAATAACAGCTATAAACGATTTATTAGCCATCTATAAGGGAAGTCTTATATCCCCCTGTCCAAAAAGCATAAAATGCTGTGCAGTCCCCCTACCTGCACAACATGAAGGTTGAAGCAACACCAACACAGCACCTTATTGCAGTAAACCAACGTGTAGACAGTGATTTGCAAAGCTGTTCATAGGAACAACCTCCCTCCATGGTGGTCTAATCTTTATTTTGATGCTGAATTGACTGATTTATGAATTTACTGTAAACATTTCTTACATTTTTCTTATTGCAAGCAGAAGGCTGTCCTGGGATTGTTCCTGCTGCTCCACTTTATTTTACAAAGACTCTTAAACAAACTCTTTCCATTATAATTTTCTAATTTTAGGATGATGTTTTCATACACACATCTACATCTACATCAAACCAGGCTTGTCACATCCAACCTGCTTTTAGTCTTATATATATATATATTAGTCTTATATCTTTGAGCAACTGGTCAGCAGCAGATCTGCTACGCGTGTGCACTCTGTGCTCAGACAGGTGACTGCTTGCACCTGTCTGAGGTAACACTGTCAAGCACCGTCATTATAGAAGTCTTGTACTATATATATACAGTACATATATTATAGTGTTGGTCTATAA